TTACAGCTAGCGTTTTAACTACACATAAATTGGATAAGATGGGTTTATATAAATACATTTATTTATATAAGATTTTTAATATATGTTGTTCTGTTGAGTTTAGTTAGTTAACGAACAAAGCACTAAATGCAATCCAAAGATGATCATTGGTATAATTATGGCTGCAAAAATGATAGCGGCGAAACCTGGAAACATCAAAAACATCTTCCTATCAAATTCTGGGTACAAGATGTATGGAACATAGCAAAATTACCAAAACTAGGAAAATTACCAAAACATCAAAGCTACTAAGAGATGGATACATACAAAAGGCACATTTTCCACACAGCGGGAAGCCTTTGTGGAATTTTGGAAAAAATTATTTATTTGCTTAATTTATAGCCCACCTTTCTCAATGAGACTTAAGACAAGTTACAAAATATAAAACAATTCAGACAGCATAAGGCATTAGATCCATTCAACTGTGACTCATTGTTGCAGCTAAATAGAAAAATGGTGACTATTATATTTTGATGCTTACTCACTTTACTTCTTTATAGTAAGTATGGGTTGGAAGATACGTGAAAGAAATAAGTGATTAAAGTATGCTGTAGGACAGAGTAAGTGGGTGGTGGAGAAAGATTCCATCAAGTCACAGCTGACGTTTGGTGACCCTGTAGGGTTTTCAAGCTAAGAGATGTTCAGAGGTGGTTTTGCCACTGCCTGCCTCTGTGTAGCAGCCCTGGACTTCCTTACTGGTCTCCCATCCAAGTCCTAACCAAGGACAACCCTACTTAGCTTCTGAGGTCTGATAACATCAGGCTGCGCTTGGCCATCCAGGTCAGTAAGTTATCACTGCTCATTTCTGGAATTAAAGAAAGAAAAGAAATCCCAGACATTTTAAGGGTTTGGGGAGGGGGAGAGGGTGGCTAAAATTCATGCTATGTTATCAATATATAGATAAATAAATAAATGCTGTTAAGGTCACTGACTGATTGAATGGATGCTGGGAAGCACTGCAGGTGAGCAATTAAATGTGATGCCCTCTCAGAGCACAAGCTAGAATTGGCCACAACCGCACAACTTCACAGATAGTCTGGCATAAGGCTTTGGCTGCAGGCGTTTATTACCTAGAGCAATTGTGTAGATAAGAGATAACATGAAGTACTTGACAGAGAGAGAGAGAGAGAGACAGACAGACAGAAACAGAGAGAGACAAACAGAGCGAGAGAGACAGAGAATAGAGCAGATCAGTTGTTACTCTGACGCCATATACAGGTATAATTTTTCTGCCCAGAGAAGCAATCACTAAGTCAGAAGTTTGCTTTCATGAAGTCATCATACCACACAGGAGCATCACTATAGCTAAGATGCCACCATCTGGCCTCACCTGAAGCTATTACTAGACTCAACTTTGAATCACTTCTACATAACTTTCTTTGACAAATTACATAATACTAAACTGACCCATCTGTAGCCTTTCTTCAGACCAAATGTGTTTATCCCAGAAGGATAGCGATACTGAAGCTACTTCAGTTTGCACAGTGCTTTACAGTATTGTTTCTGGAAAATGTCAAGTCCAAAGCAATAGGTGGTACAGTAAGAGTTTTGTTAGCTGGCACATGGTGAATCAGACAGTTCATTAATGGGCATACTTAGGACCCTAAGGGCCCATCCAAGTCACTTGAGTCTTGCCTGTTTGGCACTGCTGCCCTGTCATGCCACTGGGTTGGTGTGGTAGCAAGTATGCGAGTCACTCAGGTCATGCAGCAGTCAGAGGGCAGCAGTGATGAATGGGCAGCACTGGAGTGGGCTGCAGGTTCCCGCCAAGGCCTTGTCCACTTGATGCTGTTTTGTAAAAGCTTTGTTATCTGGCACATTTAGTTAACTGGCAAACCACTTTCCCTATGGATGCTTTTACTGTATGTTGGATAGACAGCCACTTAAGTCTGAAGATATTCTGTAACTTTCTTATGGGTGTTACATAATTTACACATGGAACAATCCCATCCTCAGTTCTGACAGCCCAAAGTTACTGTCCCTGGCTTTCGACTCCACCACACAGATGCTGCAGAGAATTCCAGTTACCCGCAGACAATAAAGCATGTCATCAGAAGGGTGTTAAAAAAACACTCACAGAGCCCTGATCTCTTGTATCAACAGTGACCTCATACATCAAGGCACGGGGTTACATCACTCTGCCTTCACATCCTTAAGTACACTGGTGAAAGGCATGAATTAGGAAGGGCACACTTCCTTGAACCCTTACAGGAATTTCAACTCAAGCCTCTACACACTAACACTCATCAGATATCTTATCTCCACAGCTGCAACTGGAGCTGCAAGGACAAACAAACAATGGAGGGGTGAACTTAAAGTAGACTCCCATACACTTCCATCACTAACCCCATGATGTGAAAAGCACTCAGGATCAAACTAGATGTGTCAGTGGGACATGTATGAATGATCTGTTGCTATGACATCCATATCTGGCTCTCAAGCATGTATGGCCACAAGTGGCCTCCCCTAGCATTATGGGAAAATTATGTACAAGCTTCAACCCTACCATTACTCAATAAAATGTAACAGTCCCAAGTACAGGACTCATACTGTGCAGAGAGGGGAAACCCTGCAACCCCCAAATGCAATGCAAGTAAACTCCTACAATCATATCTGCAGGTAGGATGAACAATCCAATCTCCTTGTCCTACCAATGGCCACAGCTCCTCTTCCTCTTGGTTCCTCTGCCTCCCGCGCTCAGGCTTTTTCTTCAAGCCAACTTCGCCTCCTCTCCCTCTGTTTGTCCTCATAAGAACATAAGAGCCCTGCTGGATCAGAACCAGTGGTCCATCTAGTCTAGCATCCTGTTTCACAAAGTGGCCAACCAGTTCCTCTGGAAGGCCAACAACAGGGCATAGAGGCCTTCCCCTTATGTTGCCTCCTAGGTCTGGGATTCAGAGGTTTAGGGCCTCTGAATGTGGAGGTTCCCCTCAATCACCATGGCTAGCAGCCCCTGTAGACTTATCCTCCATGAATTTGTCTAATCTCCTTTTAAAACTGTTTACTCCTGTGGACACCATTACATCCCCTAGAGGCAAATTCCACATTTTAATCACTCCCTGTGTAAAGCAGTATTTCCTTTTGTCTGTCCTGAACCTGCTGCCCATCGGTTTCATTGGATGCTCTTGAGTTCTAGTATTTTGGGAGAGGGAGAAAAATGCCTCTTTGTCAACTCTCATCACCACATGCATAATTTTATTAATCTCTGTCATGTCCCCCTTAGTTGTCTCTCTTCTAAACTGAAAAGACACAGACTCTTCAGCCTTTCCTCACAGTGAAGGCTGCTCCAACCCCCTAATCATCTTGCCCGCCCTCCTCTGTACTTTTCAGAGCTCTGCAATGTCCTTTTTGAGATATGGGGACCAGAACTGCATGCAGTATTCCAACCCAGACTGCATCATAGATCTATACAGGGGCATTATGATATCAACCATCTTAATCCCTTTCCTAATCTTAGAGTTTGCCTTTTTCACCGCTGCAGCATGCTGGGTTGACACTTTAATTGAGCTATCCACTACAACCCCAAGATCTTTTCCCCTCTCAGTCTCAGCAAGTTCAGACCCCTTTAGCCTATGCCTGAAGCTGGGATTTCTTGTCCCAGTGTGCATTACCTTACACTTACCAACACTGAACTTCATTAGCCACATTGTCACCCACTCACCCAGTTTGTGGAGGTCTTCTGGGAGCTCTTCACAGTCAGCCTTGGCTTGCACCATCTTGAGTAATTTGGTGTCATCTGCAAACTTGGCCACTACACTACTCAGCCCTAGTTCCAGATCACTGATGAATAAATTAAACAGTACCGGTCCCAATACCAATCCTTGCGGGACGCCACTGCTTACTTCCCTCCATTGTGAGAACTGTCCATTGATTCCTACTCTTTGCTTCCTGCCATTTAACTAGTTTTTAATCTGTAAGAGAACCATTCCTCTTTGGTGAGGCACCTTGTCAAAAAGCCTTCTGAAGGTCCCAGTATGTAATGTCTACCAGGCCACTGTTGTCTACATGCTTGTTCACTTTCTCAAGGAACTCCAAAAAGTTGATGAGGCAGGACTTCCCTTTGCAGATGCCACGTTGATCTCCCCTCAGCAGGCTTTGTTTCTCCATGTGCCTAATAAATTATCTTTGATTACAGTTTCTACTAATTTGCCTAAGAGAGATGCTAGGCTAACATGTAATTTCCTGGTTTCCCTATGAGGTCTCTTTTTAAAAATTGGTGCCACATTTGCTACTCTCAAGTCTTCTGAGACTTCTTTTGCCAGAGCCTGTGCTCCTTCCTCCTTCCATTCTCTTACCCCCACAACATCTACCTTTTTATAACGAGGGTTCTGCCAAAGTTGAGCTCCAATCCTCTATTGATCCATCCCTTTCCTTGACCCCCCCACCACCACTAGGCTGGCTGGACCGCACTGCTGCCTCCTCCCTAGCCAAAGCCTCATGGTAGCAGAACTCCTGCTTTCATTCTCAGCAGCTGATTGGCATGGTGAATGCTCCCCTTGGAGTAGATGCCACCTTTGGCTCGGTAGGCTGGCCTCCAAGGGTCCCCAGTGCTACAAGACTCTTAAGATCTTTATATGACATTACATTTCTTTATATCTTTTAATATCAAGTTACAGTACTACATTAGCATATTGTTTTCCTTGTCTTCCTTCCTCACACCTGTCCTTCCTACACATGATGCAAGCTTTGCTGTCTTTTGTTTGGTTATCTAGTGTTAAATCAGGGATACATTAGTATAATTATAGTAATTGCCTTAACACAGAGGAAAATCAGCAATGTGACATGGATGATACTGCAAGTATTCCCACGTGGACAGGGTCTGAACTGGATTAGATGTGCTGGGAGAAAGGCGGGCTTATAAATGTTCTGATTAATGAAATAAGTAAAAATGTAAAAACGTCGAACAGATTCACTTTTGTTTTGGTCTGACACATAAAACACTGTGTATAACAACTTCTTACCAGTGTATTCTCCCCACTGGAACTGTTCCAAAGTCTCATGCGATCATCTGTGCCAACTGTCAGAAGGTGAAGCCCATCGCTCGTAAAGCACAAGCCATTAACTCGCCCATTATGGGCCGTATTTGCTGTCAAGACAATACAAACAACTCCTGTTCTGTACAGATCAATATATCAATAGGCATAAATGTATAGCCACATTTCATTGTTATATTTTGTGTATCTATAATGTTTTAAAAGGACTGCCCGCCCCATGTATTCCACAATCCAGCAAAGCTTATTGCTATGGATGGACCCAAATGACTGTCACTTCGTAAGTATTACTAGTAATACTTAGCATTTGTATAGTGCTTTCATATGTTCAAAATGCTTTTACATACATTATCCAGCAGTTCATACAATCACCCTAAGAGGCAGAACTTCCAATGGGGCTGCTATGCTAGTATCTTGCAGCACAAATAAACAACCAAACAAACAAGACGTACTTGTGCCAGAACTCCAGTTTTGTCAGAATCCATGTTTTCTTTTGGAGTGGGGGGACAGGACAGGGGCTACAGAAGGGAATAATTCAGGCCAAGTTAAGCCTTTTCTACTGATTTTGTTGGGAGAGAATTATTTGCTTGATGTTTCACAGAGCCTGTAAAACGGAGCTGTTCCACCAAGCTTTTGACTGAGGTGGCGGACGTTCAACCATTCTGGCCTCCCCTGTTTATGGGCACTGGAGCACCTATAATTCACCTAATGTGAGGCATGGGGTTTGATGATATTGTTTACTGTGCCATCAATTGTTTTAATGCTTTTTACTGTTTTATTGTTTTACTATATGTTGCAAGCCACCCTGAGCTCACATGTGGGACAGGGTGGGGTATAAACAAAATGAATGAATGAATAAATAAATATTTATTTGCCTTATTATTTGTTGTATTCAAATTATTTTAAGAAATGCTCAGCTCAGTCTGGATTATGCAAAACTCCTACCCTCATGACTGAAAAATAACGCTTTAAAAAGCAAAATAAAGTTCCTTACACTGTTTTTAGTGCTGACTAAATTATCAGTTTGGAAACATTTGACATGAAATATACCTGCCTCAGGAAGTCAACAAAGTAAGAGAAAGGGATGTAAATATTTTGAATAAGCAATCAAATCCAGGACAGCTATCCTGTTGTGCTGGTGGAAATGTATTATGCAACTATACTACCTGCTTCAGAAGATGCTTTTGACTTCTCCCCATTATGTTGATCAAGAGTAATCAGACAAGCAGATGCTCTCCTCACATCCCACAATTTCACTTTACTATCAGCACTAAAAGAAGAAAAAGTGTGAGGCAATCATTGTTATAAATTATTTGTAACTAGAGGAGACAATAAAATTTGTGTCTCCATGGGAAAACAGAAGCTGGGCTGTAAAGCGAGGAAGGGAAAATGGAGTAGTTAGTTGGCTCCACTTGTAGGATTTTAAATAGTTTTTCTAAGCCTAAAAGGAAAAGGCTAGAGAAATAGAGTAAGCTGATGATGTATCTTCAGTAAAACAGTAAATCACTGTGTACAATTAAACAATATTTGTTGGTTTTTATATGCAATGTTTAGAATTCAATTATTAACAAGATTGCAACAATAACACTACAATATGCGATATAAAGCTTAGCAGTACATACAATGTAATACAGTATTAGTTACAGACAAACGATGGAGTTCTAGTACACTATCCGTTTGCGTGTCCTTCATCAGTAATTATTTCTTCATTAGAATGAAGTGCTGCAAGCTGCAATGGAGCGTAACATGCTTAATAACCAAAAACATAAAAATTACTCAAATATACAGAGGAGCATTTTACATTTTATAAACTCACCCATATTTCAAAATGCTAGTTCTTATACAATTTTTGATGTACGCTACCGCCATTTCCTCCTGGGGAACTATTGCTGCCATTCTCCAGATGAGGGCTGGGGATCACTCAGAATTAAAACTGCTTTCCAGATGGCAGATCAGTTCCCCTGGAGAAAATGGCTGCTTTGCAGGGTGGACTCTGAGTCATTATACCCTGCTGAGGTTGCTTCCCCTCCTGTTTGAGTCCCCACTGAGGAGAAAGACTGTACTTTTCCTAGGTAGAGGCTCCAGGTGTGTGTGTGTGTGTGGGGGGGATGGAAAGTCAGAGAGGCAGCTAACAATACATTGATGGTTGGCTGGGAAGGATATAGGGTTGCTATCTCCAAGACAGGTACAATGCCATAGACTCTACCCTCCAAACTAGCATTTTGAAATATGGGTGAGTTTATAAAATGTAAAATGCTCCTCTGTATATTTGAGTAATTTTTATGTTTTTGGTTATTAAGCATGTTACACTCCATTGCAGCTTGCAGCACTTCATTCTAATGAAGAATTACAGAATGACAAACCTGATGAAGGACACGCAAACGGATAGTGTACTAGAACTCCGTCGTTTGTCTGTAACTAGTACTGTACTGCTTTGAATGTACTGCTAAACTTTATTTCGCATATTGTAGTGTTATTGTTGCAATCTTGTTAATAACTGAATTTTAAACATTGCATATAAAAAGCAACAAATATTGTTTAATTGTACACGGTGATTTACTGTTTTACTGGCTATTACACACTGTGGTCCTGATACTGTATCTTCAGCAATGTGCTAGCTGGGAACTTGGATAACTTTGTTTCTGTTCTGTAACTGAGGCCAGACTGGATGCAAAGCCACAGAAAGCATAAATTAAAACCTAAGCACAACTGGACTCTTTCTGTGTCTGCATCTGTTAAATAACTCTCTAGCTAAACAAAACAAAACAAAACTAGCTTTTCATTCAGTGTAACACAAAGAACCTACAGTGTATTGTGTTTAAGACAAATTAAATCAATATCAAAAGCAGTGTCTTTTCGCTCTCTTAGAGAACACTAATGGGATATTTGTTCAAGTAACCTCACATTTTTTTAACCAATATTTATTGTTGTCATATCTACCAACATAAAACATAAGGATTCCGTTTATAATACATTAGATATCTGCTCTCGACAGACTTACAGTAAGCAATCTAGTTCAAATATTAAACATATCTATACATTTTTTTCTAACCATTTGAAGAATTTTGTCCAAATATTCTTGAAGGTAACATCCTCCCTCCCCTGTAGCCTCGAAGTCAGATTATCCAGTTCAGCTATTTCTATAAGTTTAGCTATAAACTCCTTCATTAGTGGTGTAGCTTCCTGTTTCCAATATTTTGCCAACATCAACCTTGCTGCCTTAAACAAATGACTAATCAGATGTTTATCTGTTTTTTCCAAGTTGTCAGGCATTATGTTTAATAAAAACATCTCGGGGGCAAATGGGACTGGTCTGTTAATTATTTGTTCTGTAATAGTGTGATTTGTACTGTAATAGTGTGATTTGTTGACTGTTAATTATTTGTACTGTAATAGGCCTGGCGTGATCTGGTCCATGGGGTCACGAAGAGTTGGACTCGACTGTGCGACTGAACAACAACAACAAAAATAATGTGAATCTTTTTCCAAAAACTTTGAATCTTAGCACATGTCCACCATGCATGGAAGTATGTGCCTTTTTCAGTTTTGCATTTCCAGCATTTCTCTGATAAATTAGAGTAACATCGTGCTAACAGAGATGGAGTAAGATGCCATCGGTGGAACATTTTAAAAAGATTTTCCTTCATTGAGGTTGCTTTCATCCTTCTCATATTTTGCCACATTTTTTCCCACTTAGCCCATTCTATATTATGACCTATATTTCTGGCCCAACTTATCATTGCGGCTTTGACTTCCTCGTCCTGCATCTTTTGATCTATTAAAAAGTTGTAAAATTTACGGATCAGTTTTTCTTCCGCCCCCGTTAGCATTTTATCAAATTCTAAGTGGTCATGGTTAAATCCTATTTGTTGATCTTTTGCCCACCTGGATTCAAGCTGATTTCTCTCCCACCACGTCAGGGCGATTCCTTGAGCTTCTAACACATTCTGAGTTTTTAGTTTTCCATTTTTCTCCAGTAAGTCTCCATAAGTTACGTATCTGGATTTAGTCATCAAATTGGGGCTTGAAAAGGCTTCTAACAAGGCCACCCATACTGGAGTTTTGATGTAAACTAATTTTTTAATCTTGTTCCAGGTTTTCATTAGGGCTTTCCTCAGGATATGCTTGTTGAAGTAAGTATGTGAATTTTGTTTAGCATACCACAGGAAGGCATGTCATCCTAAAGCCAAATCGTGTCCCTCCAGCTTCAGAATCCTTAAATTGTTTAATTTAATCCAATCACAAATCCATATCATAGACGCTGCCTGAAAATATAGGCGCCAGTCCGGTAGCGCCAAGCCTCCTTTTTTCGTTTTTTCTTGGAGAAGCTTGAGTTTGAGTCGTGGTTTTTTCTTTTGCTAGATAAAATCTCTTACTGTTTTTTCTAATTTACGTATAAAAGTCAGATTGGTGAGAATGGGTATATTCTGAAACAGGAAAAGCACCCTTGGCAGAACATTCATTTTTATCACCGCCACTCTGCCCATTAAAGATATTTGCATCTGTCCCCATTTAGTCAAATCATTCTTAATTTGCGTCAATAATTTATCATAGATGTCTTGATATAGGGAACTTAACCTATTTGTTATATAAATGCCTAGATATTTAATCTTTTTTTGGGTGCAAAACCCAGTTTTTCTTTGCAATTCTAAAACCTGTTGAGTAGTACAATTTTTTCTCAGTAGCTGGGATTTACACACATTGACTCTAAAACCTGCCAATCGGCCAAATTCCTCTAGAACTTCTGATAACCTATCTAGTGAGTCCAGCGGATCTATAAGTATAATTGCTAAATTGTCTGCGTATGCTTGGATAGTGTACTCTTCACCTTTGGGCTTAATTCCTACAATCCATCTATCTTTTCTTATACTCTCCAACAATATTTCGATGGTAAATATAAACAATAAAGGAGACAGGGGACAACCCTGTCTCGTACCTTTAGCGATGCTTATTTCAAATGTCATGTCTCCATTAATCATTATTCTGGCCTTTTGATTGGTATAGATAGCTTCTATCACATTCACAAAAAAATCTCCACATAAGGAGATCTTTAGATGTTCTATCATAAAATCCCAGGCAATGTTGTCAAACGCCTTCTCGGCGTCTGAAAATAGTATTGCCAACTGTTTGTCTGGATGCGCCTCTGCATATTCCAAAGCATTCATAATTATTCTGAGGTTATGTCTAGCCTGTCTGTGTGGTTAAAAGCCCACCTAATCACTATGAATTATCTCAGAGAGAATTTTTCTTTATCTAGATGCTATAATAGATGCAAAAATCTTATAATCTGCATTGAGTAGAGATATAGGGCGGTAATTTTTAATTTCTTTTGCTTCCGTGTCTTTTTTATGTATCAAGGAAATTATGGCTATATTCCAGGAGTCTGGCAGCCTTTTCCTTTGTGGGACCTCTTGTATCACTTGTTTAAGTGGAGCCGTTAATTCCTCCTCAAAAGCCATGTAAAATTCTCTCTTAGAGAACACTAATGGGATATTTGTTCAAGTAACCTCACATTTGACTTCCTGTGTGACTTATGTACACATATCACACCCCTCACCTTCACAAACATGGGTAATGCACAGTGGCATGCATGCTGAAAAGGGTAGCTCAGAACAGAACTCACATTGTGCACTGTCAGAGAACACAATGAACAACACTTATTAACAGATAATATTTTAAACAGCTGAAATTACAGTTCACAGAATCAGCATGTGTGCGATAACAAGCATTCACTATCTCTTTTTTTTTCCACCCGTTCCCCCTTTGTACCTTGCAGTTGCCAAGATGTACTCATAACGTGGTGACCAAGATACCGCCAGTACTTCCTGTTTGTGTCCTAAAAACATGAAAGCATGAGAATCCTTAGAGGTATGCAGCACAGTACATGCTTTATTTATCTGAAAGAAAACTCTTCCCCCCCCCCCCCCACACGCCCACACACAAAAAAACGTCAGGGGGGGGCAT